CAAAACACCTTATATGCATGTATGAAATTCTCAATAAATTATTTATTTTCTAAAAACTTTATAAATAAGGAAATTAGAAATTAAAAATTAAAAAAAAAAAGAACTAAATCTATGGCCTTGTTTTCTTCTTCAAGGCTCCACCTGACCTGGTCCCACCTGACACATCTCTGACATCACTTCCTAACACCCTTCCCCACATTCACTCCGCTCAGTCTCAGACATGCACAGTGCCCCCTACACACCCACATGCTGCCACCTCGGGGCCTTGGCACTTGCCAGTCCCTATGGCCTGCAACAGAGATTTGGCACCATGGAGAGACACAGGTCTCAGTCCCAGCCCGAGTACATCCATCTTGCAGCCATTTAGCTGTTACTATGAGATTGCCAGGGGGCAAATTACCTTTTCCACAGTCTGACCATGTTTGCCCAGGTCTCAGAGTCCCTGACAGAAGCAAGACAGAGTGCACATGGACCTAGAACCTTCCCAGTCTGGCTCTGTGCCATCCCTCAACTGAGCCTGTACTCACTTCAGCCATTTGAACACGAGGGGGCGAGCTAGGCCTAGGTTTGCATCTGTTCCCCTGGACTTCAGTCATAAAACAAACTAGGTTGGTGCTGACTTTGGGGGAGTGCAGCCTTCCAGAGGCTCCAGGGCTCTCTCTGTAAGTAATCTCTGGTAAAGTCACTTACTCATCAAGCTATGCTTATCCGAGTCCTCCTAGTTTCTTTAACACCGCCCTGGTAAATTCACCAGACACCCCAGGGGGCGTCACAATCCTCTCCTGACCTTCAGGTCTGTGCTCAAATGTCTTCTCATCAAGGCCTTTCCTCCAGTGCTTTTTATTATCATTATATTTTGTCTATTGTGTTTGTGGGGTGGGGGGGTCCAGGCATGGCGCAGCTGTGGAGGTCAGATGACAACTTGCTGGGAATGGTTCTCTCCTTCCACCACGTGGGTCCTGGGATTGAATTCAGGTCAACTGTCTTCACCCACTGAGATGTCTTGCCACTCTCCTCTAACCTTTTTTCTTTCTTTTTCTTTGTTTTTGAGACAGAGTCTCACTATGCAGCCCTGGCTGGCCTGGAACGGCTATGTAGACCAGGCTGACTTCAACTCACAGCTGCCTCTGTCTCCTGAGTGGGTATAGTAAAGGGGTTCCCCGGCATACCCTGCCCGTCTCCAGTCGTAATGCCCTGTCTAATGTGTTCCCCTGGCCTCCCTATCCTCTTTTCTGGCTTTATTTGTCTCTAAACACTCAATGTAGTCTTGTTACCTCTTTTTAATGTCTTCTTGTGTTAGAACATAAACTGAAAGAGGGCAGGAACTTTAATTTACTGTTCCCTGGAAGAATGCCTACTACGCTTTAGCTGAGTCGTTGATAATGAATGAATGAGCCAAGATAAGAATTGGCTCCAAGGGCCACAGAGATGGCTCAGAGGGTGAAGATGCTTGCTGCCGAGCCCAACTTCCCAAGTTCAAATTCCAGGACTCATACATGTAAGGAGAAAACAAACTCTGAAAACTGTCCTCTCACCTCTACACAGGTGCCCTGGCATACATGTGAGCATACACACGGGCATACACACACACACACACACACACACACACACACAGATAAATAAATAAATAAATAAATAAATAATCATGGAATCATGGTGGACATGATCAAAACACAATCTATACATGTATGAAAGTCTCAAAGAACAAATAAAAATATGTTTTAAAAAGGAAAAAGAAATCAGCTCGCAACTGAGTCTCGATGAAAGCACTGTGGCTGGTGCAGAGAGCACACTCCCTCCTGAAGCCTCCGTGAGGGAACCCACTGGCTCTGCCCTCTGCCCTGTCAGTGACCAGCATGCACTCTGACTTGCCTGACGGCGATTCTTCCCATGCTCCCACCCCTCTGCTCACCTGAACTCCAGGTCTCTGGGAGCTTCCTTCTGCTGAGGCTTCCTTTTCCTGGAAGGACACTGGGATGTTAGGCTCAGGGCTCCAGGCCCGATCTAGAAATTCTCACCCTTCCTGTCCAGGTTCCCAAGCCCAAGTTGCAGACAGTCCTGCGGAGTTTCACCTCTTTCTCAGGAAGAAAATCAGCAGCCCCACGAGGATGAAGAACAGGAGGACGCCCACAATGGCTCTGGCAATGACCCCTGGAGGAGAAGCAAAGGGAGGCTTTCAGCCTAGATTTACCATTACTATTTATTATCATCATCATCATCATTATTATTATTATTATTATTATTATTATTATGTGTGTGTATGATGTTGTGTGGGTGCATGCACCATGGGAGCGGGTGGAGCTCTCAAACAAACAACTTGTTGTGAAGTCTGTATTTTTTTTGAAATGGGGTCTTCCCATAGTCCCAGTTCACTTGGAACTCACTATGAAGACCAGGCTGGCCTTGAACTCACAGAGATCCGCCTGCCTCTGCCTCCAAAGTCCTTGGACTACAGGCATGTGCCACTGTGCCCAGTGAAGTCTATTCTTTTTCCATCACATAAGTCCTGGGGATCCAACTCAGGTCCTCAGATGTGGCAGCAAAGAGCTTTACCCACTGAGCCATCTCACTGGCCCAGAGCCCAGGTATTATGTGTTGATGTCTTATCTCTGTCCTGAGTCAGCACTGTGTTCAGAAGTCCACAGTGAAGATGCTGAGGGAGAGAAGGCAAAGGACAAACCTTCTAGACAAAGGCCTTTCTCCTAGGCACAGATCCTAATCTTGATGCATGTAATTATTTCGTGTGTGCACGTATGCATGCATGCCATGTCATATATGTAGAAGTCGGAAGTCAATTTGAAGGAGTCTGTTCTCTCCTTTTACCATGGATGTCCTGGGATCAAATTCAGGTCATCAGGCTTGGCAGCAAGCACCTTATACTCTGGGCCATCTTGACGGCTCAAAGTACGTCATTTCTCTTTTTTAGTTATATACAAGTCTATGTGTCTGTGCCTGTGAGTGCAGGTACCTAGAGAAGCCAGAAGAGGATGCCAGATGCTCTGGAGCTGGAGTTACAGGTGGTAGCGAGCCACCTGACCTGATGTGGGTGCTGGGAACTGAACTCAGGTCCTCTGCAAGAGTAGTAACTGTTCTTATTAACCACTGAGTCAATTCTCAGGCCCCCAAATACATCATTTCTAAACTGATCAGGTAACTGAAGAATGACACCCCCTTTCTTGGCCTGACCAGTAGTTCCAATGACCCTCAGGAGGTACTGTACAACATTTTCCTTTGCCACACCTGGCTGGTACAATGCTACTGCCATGCGACTGATGGAGACCAGGGATGCTGCTCAGTGCCCTACATGCACAGGACAGCCCACTACAGCAAATGGTCCAGCCCCACCAGCCACAAGACCTGAGAGCAAGAAAACCCTCATTAGTGAAGAAACTACTCTACCTAGCTTTGTTTGTTGTTGCTGTGATAAAACACCCCAACAAAAGAAATTTCAGCAGAAAGGCTTATGTAGCTTACAACCCAGGTTTCAGTCTGTCACTGCCAGGAAGTGGCCAGCACTTGAAGCAGCTAATCATATCATATCCACAGCCAAGAGCAGGGGCCATCAACGAATGCGTTCATCCTATGCTCAGCCTGGTTCCTCCACTCGTACAATCTAAGACCCCCACTCAGGGAATGATGTCAGCCATGGCAGATGCATCCTCCCAGTAATCCAGACAATGCCCCAGAGACTGCCCACAGGCCAATCTAATCTAGACAGTCTCCCCTTGAGATTCCCTTTCCAGGTGATGCTAGGGTATATCAAGTTGACCATTAAAAACCAACCCTCACACACTCACCCACTGATGGAATCACTCTCCCCTGGCTAGGGACTTGGTCCTCTCAGAGAGCCTGCTTGCCAGGAGAACCATCCTGGCCCAGATGTCTGGAGCCCACTGATGTCGACAGTGCCAAGACTTTGGTTGGGCCCAGACTCTGATGAACATAGCTCTCCTAGATTGTGTTCTTAGATACCTGGTCTTAGGGTGGACCCATCTCCATCACCCTGGAGGCCCCAGGGGGCAGTGGTCCAATAGTCTTAGTTGTACTGATGGCCAACAGGCTCTAGTAGGAGCATAAACCCTTTATGAAGACATGTTTCCCTCATGAACACACACCTTCAGAATTTGACCAGAGACTCTGTCCCCTTAGGGACACTGGTTGCTAAGGGGCAGACACTTCCAGGCAGTGGAACTGGGCAAAGTCCAGTTGGAGAAGGATGCATTTAACATTGCATCCACTTCCTTCCTCTCTCCAGAGTGGAGACCCACTGTTATGGGAGGCCTTATTTTTAGGAGATGAAGAGGGCAAAGTGAGACCTACATCCAAGGTCATGGTAGAACCAGAAAGATGGCTCAATGTGTAAAGGTGATCGCTGCTAAGCCTGACAGGAATTCAACCACAGTGTGGAAGGAGACAACCAGCC